ACTTCCATAGGAACAGGTAACCCCGAACCCCAGCCCCTGTGCAGCCTCTCCTGACAGGAGCCATCCTGGTCTGCCCACACCTGCAGGACCAGCTAAGACATCTCTCATCCTGCACGCAGTCACCCAGGGGGCATATATACTTCCTGCTCCAAGCCAACTCCAGGCCCAAAAACTTAGAATTCCTGGGTATGGTGCTGGGCTTCAGCTGCCTTTCAAATTCCTGTTAATTCCTGCTCTAAGGACTGGGTATTAGGTCACTTTCCATTGCTATACAAATACTTGAGGCTGTTTCCTTGTAAGGAAAAGTTCAGTTGCAGAGGTTCAGGAGGGTGGCACTAACATCTGCTTGGCTCTGTTTAGGGCTTTGTGGCACCACGATGGCAGGGGCCCGTGTAAGAACAAACAGCAGGCAGGGCTGGAAGAGGGTCTGGGGGAGATGCCAGGCTCCCTTGTGATGACCCATCCTTGTGGGAACTAACACAGGTCCTGTGAGAACTACATTGATCCCTCCCAAGGCCAAGGGTAGTGCTTCCAGGCCCCAAACACCTTTCGGCAGGTACCACCTCTTAAAGGCTCTGCCACCTTCCAGCACTGACCCGTGGCTTCCAGCACTTGGACCTTTAGGTGCAACCCAACCCAAGCCATAGCAACAAGCAAGTGAGAGCTACGGGCTGGCTGCCAGCCCTCTGCTCCTGGCTCTTGCCACCTCTTCTTCCTCTTGGCTCTGCCCTCTTCCGATTCCAAAACTTCCCTGCTACTTCCCAGAAGAAGATGCCCAGGTCAGCTCCCCTTCCAAAGGCTCCTCCTCCTCTGGCATCTTTTTTTTTTTTTTTTTTTTTTTTTTTTTTATCGGTACTGGGGATCGAACTCATGACTGCCTGCTTGCAAGGCAGGTGCTTATGCCACTGAGCTAAGTCCCCAGCCCCTATCCTCTGGCATCTTTTAAAAGCTTGAACCCACAGTCTGAGGGCAACAGAAGAGAAGTCTGTTGTCCTCAGAAAATGGGATCTGGGCTGTCCCATAGCGTGACAGTAATCAGAGGCCCCCTAAAGTGCCCAGCTAAATAAATAGCTTTGATAGCCAAGAGCCAGCTGCTAACCAGACCCTTGTAACCCAGTGTGGGCAGGCTTTGGTGTACGTGCAGGGTCCTTCTCACAGGAAGTGTAATGGACCATGTCTCTTCTCAGCTACAGATGTGACTCAGCCTGGGAAGTCCCTCCCCAGGCCTCCCCCGGTCAGCCCTGGGGAAGTGGACTCAGCAGACAGGAAGTGGTCTCGGCTTTTACTGGAACTGGCCCATTTTCCTGAGAGACCTAGTAAACCAGAAGTTGGGGAGAGATGTGGGTTAGGGACTAGGAAGCAACGCTGAGGTGGGCTTGACCACTATGATGACCTTAAGGATATCACTGGGCCCAGCAGATGTGGTGGCAGTTGAGGGGCGGGCAGTTTAAAATCGGGTTTCTTGTTTGCAGTGACCTCAAGCAAACCACTTAAGCTTTTCTGAATCTGTAAAACCCAAGCACAGAAGACCTAGTTTCTAGGGCTCCATCAAAAGGAAGGCGGGGCCACGAGCATGAAAGGAAGGAGCCCGAGGTGAGCAGGCGACACCCTCCCTTCCCTTCCTCCCTCCCTTTATCTGTCAAGAACTTAGGACATGTTGGCTCCTCAGCAAAAGCAAGACATTCAGAGCCACTTGGAGGGTGACAGGAATTTGCAGGGGCCCCCCTGGGCCACCCTGAACTACTCAGCTAACAGGGGATAGGAGTTTCATTAAGATGAGTAAAAATCGCTCTGCTGGCTGCAAAGCGGCCCCCCAGCCCCCCAACCTCCCCGGTGAGGAGGCGGCTACTCCTCTTCACGGGCTTGTCCAAAATGTGTCCCCTCACAGTGCATCTGCAATCAGGTGCAGGCTCCTGCTGAGCAGCTGGTCCCTGCAAAGTCCCTGCCCCGGGTGTGAATGAGCTCGGAGGCAACACTTTGAAGACAAAGGCACACACAGACACAGCACCCTTCAGGGGCCAGCATTCCCAGGTCCTTGCCCTCCGACCCTCCAAACTCCAGGGCACCGCATCTGTAGCAGAGACACTGTCATCTCCGCAGCCACTCCCCCTTCTTGGACAGAAGGACACCCACAAAGCCAGATTCCTAGATTTGTTCCTGTGTCCTGACCAAGAAACTCAGAGGAACTGGATCACTCTGTGACCGGCCAGCTGCGTGTATCCCTAGGCTTAACCTAAGTCCCAGTTTTGGGCAGGTTGTTGACTGAAACACTGAAAGATCATTCAGGTTGTTAAACACAGAGGAGCCAGCCCTGGCTCTGAGCCATATCCCTGAAGCTCATACAAACTCCGCCTTCCAGTCCTCCATTACGGGCATCTTTCTGGACCTCACTGTGTAAGTCCCCAGTAAATGCCAAGGACACATCACCCTGGCATGCAGTGCTCCTTTCTTTGGAATCGCAATGGCCCCATCTTGGGTCGGCTTGGGACACTCCCCTGTTGGAACTCCCTTATAGTTATTTTGGGGGTGACTCTAGACAAAGTTAAAAGGCCATACTTGTGCTGGGGTGCAGCTCAGCAGTAGAGTGATGGCCTAGAATGCAAGAGGTTTGGGGTCTGGTCCCCAGTACTGCAATAAATAAATGCATAAATAAGAAGCCACATTTCGGGGCTGGGGATTTAGCTCAGCGGCATAAGTGCCTGCCTTGCAAGCAGGCAGTCCTGAGTTCGATACCTGGTACCGATAAAAAGGAAAAAGACCAAAAAAAAAAAAAAAAGTAAGAAGCCACATTTGCCAAACTCCCCTGTAGCTGAGTGTGACAAACCAAGGTGTTGGCAGGGCTGGTCTCTTTCAGAAGTTCCAAGTTTTAAAAGACATCTGTTTTACTTATTTTCTAGCATAGACGCCATCTGCAGTCCTCAGCTTGTTCCTGTCCTCCAGCTTCAAAGCCAGTGCTCGGCGTCTGCAATCTGCCGTCTTTCTGTTTCACCCCTCACATCTCTGTCCCTGACTCTCTCTCTCTTCTAAGATCCCTGTGATGGCACTGAGCCCACCTGGATGACCCACGGTCACCTCCCATCTCGATGTCCTTAACACCACATCTGCAAACCTCTTTCCTGTGAGGTTGTATCAGCAGATTCCCAGGATTTAGGGTGTGCATACATCTCCAGTGACCATTATCTGCCCAATACAGCACATTTTTTTCTTCCCAGAACTGTAATACTGGCACATCTGTCCCTCCTGACTTTGCAGACAAAGACAACAAATAAACCTCTGGCCATGGGACTCTCCTGATATCAGCATGAGCAAACTCCGCTCAGGGATGCCTGACCCCTCAGGGACATGTGCCAGATCTCCCCCAAGGGCTGTCACTACACTCTCGGGCTGCAGCTTAGCAAGAATCCGGCTGAGGATGAGCTGAAGGGCTCCCAATCCTCAATCCCTCCCCAATTCTGGAGATTCTCCTGTGTACCCCCAGGTGCAGGGCAAAGTTCTGACTGCAAATCTCGTTTTCTCAATGAGGCTGAGGATGGTCACAGTGCCCCGTGTGTAGAGAGAGCGGTCCCACTCAACAAGGACCAGAAATGCTCACGGGAAGATGGACAACAGCCTTGCACCACTGTGTATCTGTAATCTCAGCTATTCAGGAGGCTGAGGCAAGATGATCACAAGTTCGAGCCCAGTCTGGGCAGTTTACAAGACTGTCTGAAAATAAAATTTCAAAAGGGCTAAGGATGTGTCTCCAAGATGGAGCACTGGCTTAGCACGTGGGAGACTCTGGGTTCTACCCCCAACACTGAAAAAATAAAAATTAAAAAACGAGATGTGTAACAAATCACCCTAGGTGGTAAACAATGCATCAGACAAGAATAATAGAGAACTGGGTGTAATCCCAGCCCTCCAGAGACTGAGACAGGAGGATCTCCATGAGTTCAAGGCTGGCATGAACATAGAGAGGTTCTGTCTCAACAAAACAAAACCAACAAAGGAACGAGAGAATTGACGCCGAAGAGGAAGCCATCACCAAACCTGAACTGCAAGGACACGGTCTCCACAGAAGGAAAAATACGTGAGAAAAAGACGGCCAGAATGGGATCTACATGGGGACGAAGGTGACCACTCAGGCCATCAGAAGCACAAGGCAGGGGAACCCTCGCTCCAGAGAGCCTTGAGTGCCAAGTAAGTGCAGAAACTACACGCGGGGTGAGACACATCAGGACAAAGGTGCAGAACGGCCTGCGGGGGCTATGGGTTGTATGTGCATATTTGTGTGTGTGCGTGCGTGCATGCGAGTGTGTGTGTGTGAGCTCTTCTAACATATCTCTCCACGGTACTGAACTCCTTGGGATCGATCTGACTTTTCTCTCTGATGAAGTAGAAACATAGAAAGGAAAAGCGGTCGTTTAGACTCTGGTCTGGGGCTCACACCGAGGACTATGCGATGAAACCCGACCAAAGGAGCCTTGGTTGGTTTCTGACCGGACCCGCGATCCGTGCCACCGCCCAGAGCCACCACCAGGGGGCACGCGTGGACCGTGGAGCAAATGCCTCTAACGTCGCCTGCCCAGGACACCTTCCCGTCTTCTGGTGGTCAAGCGGCAAAGCACGGCGTGGTGACAGAGGCCTGTGGTCTCAGCATTCGGGAGGTTGAGGCAGGAGGATCTTGAAGTTCGCGCCCAGCCAGGGCAACTTAACCATTTAGTGAGATCCGATCTCAGGGTGGGGGTGGGGGGGAATGGGTTCTGGAGATGTAGCTTAGTGCAAAGGCCCTGAGTTCCATCCTGGCCCCCCAACAAAAGAAAGAACGAAAGAAGAAAAGAAACAGGATGTCTCTTCTTGAGGGCTCTCCCCTCTAGTCGGGACTTTCGTTCCCTATCACCCTAGCTCGTCAGCTCGCCGTCCGTGGCCCCTTTAAGACGGCCTTGGAGGACCCAGATTTAAAGCGAGGGACTCTCTAGCTGCTGTCTCTATGGTGACTCGTCACTTCCGGTGAGGTGCGTTTTCCAAGCGGCTCCCGCCGGGGGTGAGGGGCGGGGTGTTCGGCGAATTTGGACACGCGGTTGATCCGGTCCAAGAGGAAACGTGCTCTCGCCTTCCGCTGGCTGCCGACCCTGGCCATCGCGATGGGTGATCCAGGTGGCTCAGCAGAGGCTGCAGCAGTAACCAGCGGCCCTTTGGTCCGGACAGGAACGTCTGCGGCCCCTCGCTTATCAGCTGGGGTCGGACGGAGGATACGGAGGGATTGGGCCACACGCAGCCGCCGAAATCGGCCCGAAGGATGGCGAGAGGGCGCGGGGCCTGCAGAAGAGCGCTGCGTTGCCCTCTGGCGGGTTTTCTGGATCCTGTAAGCAACCAGTGAAGCTGTCCTTTTACGACACCTTTTATTACTCTCTTCCCAGGGTCGCGAAGCAAACGGAAGATGCCTCCTGCTCCTTGGATGGGTTTTCCAGGTGACCCCGGTTTGGATGACCTAGGTATGTCCAGCCAGGGATCAGTGCCCTCAGGTGGGTGGATGGTCCGGGGAAAGGCTCCTGTGTGACTGACCCCGCCCCGTGGTGGGTGCAGCCTCGTACCAGGCAGCCCCACCCTGACCTAAAGTAAATTCCCAGCGGAAGTTTTCCCTGGGTTTTGAATTTGCAGTAACAGGTGTGAACATTCTAGCAGCAGTTTGATGATCATGTATGATACTGCAAACAGGACCTGCCCTGAGAGAAGAAAAACCTTTTGAATCTGACAGCAAAGAGTTTCCAATTCTGTAAAGAGTATTGATGTCATTTGCATCCATCAAATGCTGATGATTTTGGTCAGGCACCACACCCCGTTGTTGGGGATACAGATGTAAATAAAACAGTCACAGCGTTCATTCTCAGGGAACAGTAGTTCCAATGGAGACACAAGGTTAAGTGGTCACATGTAAAAGGATTAAGTCAAGCCGAGGTGAGTGCTCTGAAAGAAAGCACAGTACTGTAAGATCCATGTCACAAAGAGCCTGGTGGAAATTGGAAAGCTTTCCTGAGAAGACCCTTAAGCTGGATTCTGATGGATGTATAGGAAGTCGCTGGGAAAACAGGAAACAGAGTGTGTGAAGACCCTGTGGCTAGCAAGTGGGGCTGGTGGAGGAATTGAAGGAAACCGTTGTAACCCAGAAGGCAAGCCGGAGAATAGTATAAAATAAAGCCAGAAAGTGGCTGCCCACCTCCTACCCAGGCCCTTTGTGGACACAGGCAGAGACTGCTCCAATTCTGACAGAATCCTAGTAACAATTTCTCCTTAGTAACCAGCATTTGTCTTCTTGGCCATAGTGGACAGCCTGCTCCTTCATGAAGCATCATTCCTTCCCTGGCTGTCCACTTTATTGTCAACACACAGATTGAGACATCACATCCTCAGCCAACTCAACTACCTACAGTGGCCACCTTCTATGACAGACAGCTTGGGAGGGATGTTAATGTGGTCATCACTGTAGCTCAGTAGTAGAATCTGTGGTCAGCATAGGCAAGGCCCTGAGTTCAATCTCCTGACATCAAAAAAGAAAAGAATATACAGGTGTAATGGTGCTGGCCTTTAATTCTGGCTACTCAGGAGGCAGAGGCAGGCTAGTCACAGGTTTGAGGCTGGCCTAGGCAACTTAGCAATACCCTGTCCCAAATAAAATTTTTAAAAATACTGGGAATGTTGCATAACGTCAGAGCAAGCACAGAGACCTGGGTTCAGGCCCCAGTGTCATGAAACGGGGAGGGAGCCATCAGTGAATCCTGTAAAATGACAAGAAGGTACATTTCAAACAGGACCCATCACAGGGCTTCTTGCACATCACAGTGTGGTTGAGGTGAATTTCCAGCTCGGGAGAGTATTCCGCGGTGCTGAGTCTTCAGTGTTCAGACTTGGTAACAGGAGAAAGACTGATGAGGTGTACTTTGTTTGTTTGCAGGTCAGTTTCCTGGAAGATTAGTGCTGTGCTGCATGAAAATCTGGTTTCATTTCTGCTGGTTATGTGTCATTGTTTCGGCTTAGGGCCTTCCAGGTTGGTTGGTTGGTGGCGTCTTTCCTCGAGACACAGGGTCTTATGTAGTCCAGGCCCGCTTTGAGCTCATCATGCAGCCCGGGCTCGCCTCAGACCCACAGTGGCCCTCTTGTCTCAGAGCTGAGATTGCAGCGTGCAGCGCTGCGCCCAGCTTGCTTTAATGCTTCACCACATACTTTTGCTGGAGGGCTGTGTTAAGTGCATATAAATAAACTTGGTCCAACCCCAAGGTTTGTGCAATCTGATTCCTAAGCCGTGTGGCTTCCACTGCTGAGATACACACACAGCACCAGCTGTTTTGGAGAGTGACTTAGCCACCCACAGTGTAGGCCCTGAAGGCACTCTGTGTCTTTAGGGAACGTGAACTGTTGGGAGATGGCAGTGCGTAGGGGCAGATGGCCAGGATCTTGGGACAACCCATAGGGGTGCCCCCATGTTTCTGGGTGATTTTAATGTTTCCCTTCCGATAACAGCGGCCAGGAAATGACTGTTCCTCTCCACCTGGTCCTGCTATGCTGTAGGGTGGTCACTGACAGCTGCCCCTACTTACTTGGGTGCATTTCTGACCTCACGGAGCCTTGAGCTTCAGCCCGCTGGCCATGCACCCAGTGTCACCAGGTGACTGCTGCAGGACTAAGCCATTCCCTCCCCTGGGGACCTTCGGGCTGTGGTTCTTTGGTGGTCACTCTGTGCTGCCTTTGTGCTGTCCCCATCTCTTAGTCCCTATGCACCCCTCAGCAAGAGGGGTCCTCAGCAAGAGCAGAGCCACTGTCACACCCCGTTTTGCACACATCTGAGGGAATATTATTGTCATCATGACTAGGGACACGGCATCAGAATGCCCAGTCCTTTATGTAAATAAAGCAGATGTCTCTGGCTGCGTGTGGTGCAGGTTATACCACTTCGGGCCATGGGTGTGTCACTGTTGGCCAGGGACAGTAGAATGAGAAGGTCACCTGGGTTTCTGGCCTTACTATGTGTGTGCGCGAGGTACCTGCCTGTCCTCGCCCAGCTCTACCCCAGGCAGGGACGCTGAGTACCACTGAGGTCAGCCTTGGTGGGTTTGACAGTTGTCCACAGCCAGGACCTTTGTAGAGAGGAGGCCTGGCCCCTGAGGAGGCGCAGAGCATAGCATTCAGTTGGTGCAGAGAGGACTTTGCCCAGGCCTTAGGCCTGGCTTGGTTAGTTCTTTATCACATGCCTTAAGAGTCCACGCCTGTTGGAGGCTGGTTTTTATGGTTGGTTGTTTTTTTGTCTTTTTGACACACAGTCTCGCTATGCAGTTCAGGCTGGCCTCAAACTCACAAAGATCCTCCTGCCTCAGCCTCCCAATTGCCGGGATTACAGGAGTGCACCACCACACCCAGCTGGAGGCTGTTTCAAATTGAGCCATCAGCACCCACCGTTTCTACAGGGGTTTCAGGCGCACGGCCCAGGACTCATCTGCTGTGAGCCTTTTGGCAAATCACTCCCCACTGGGGGCCTCGGTTCAGTAAAGTTGGGTCAGTGGCAGTGCAGAGGACTCCCACCGACGGGCACTTCTGAGGGCGTGGTGAGGGATCCCATGAAACACCGAGATGGGCCCTGGGCCTGCGTGTATCCTAGGCACCATGTTCTGGGTGTGACGTTCATTATTTCAGTCTGTGAGATTCTCTGGGTGCTGCAGTTGGCAAAGTCCGAGGGTCTTCACAGACACCATTGTCCCCTGAGCCACCAAAACCAGTCACCATGCTGGAGCTGCTACAGGCTGCTGGGTCTTGCCCTCGGGTACAGTGAGCAGTTACCCCAGCCTGTGCCTGCCGGGCTAGAGGAAGAATGCATGACAATTGCCTAAATCACCTCAGTGTCAAATGTGGTATGAAAAACAGCATCACTGGTATTTCTGGACAAGACCTCTGAGGGCCAGGTCAGGACTCCCCATCCTGCTTGGGATGTTTTTCCTATGTGCAGAGCCTTGGCTCCGGTGCAGCTGCCCTGGGCACTGCCAGGTCCGCCCTTGGGGCACCTGAGTCCTCGTGTAGCTGTGGGCCCCTGTGCCAAGGTCCCTGAGGAGCTCTCAAAGTTGTCGTTTAGTGGTTTAGTTTCAGTAGGACCTTGACTGGGTGTCCGACCTTTTGGCTGGCCTGAGCTGCAGTGAGTTAAGGGGAATTGTCTTAGGCTGCATATAAGACATGATTAATGTACATAAGCAACAAATCTTCCTTTTTAGAAATAGTCTTACTGCATTTTTTACTTAAATTTTTTATTTTTGCTTTTTTTTTTTTTTTGGTACTGGGTATCGAACTCACAACCTCACACTTACCAGGCAAGCGCTTGAGCCACTGAGCTAAATCCCCAGCCCCTTGTTTACATTTTTTTTTTTTTTTTGTCTTTTTCATTTTTATGGGTACCAGGGATCAAACTCACGACTGCCTGCTTGGAAGGCAGGCGCTTATGCCGCTGAGCTAAATCCCCAGCCCCTGTTTACATTTTATAAAAGGACAAGGGCTGGGGGTTATAGCTTAGCAGCACAGCGCCTACCTGGCAAGTGTGAGATTGAGTTTGATTCCTGGTACCAAAAAAGGGCAAGCACCCATGGGCCACTGGAGGCCACCCCTACAGTCAGAGGTCCCAGAGCAAGTGGTGACTGATTGCAGCCCTAAGAATCCTCACAGGATGCAGATCGAGGGTCCAGAGCCCAGCCGTTCCTTACTGTCAGTCCCAGTGTCCTGAGTCCTCCAGTTGGGCAGGGGCATCCCAGGGTGGAAGAGCACCTGCATCCTTGTCCTCTTAGCTCTGCTGAAGTTGTACTGAGGTGACTTGGTACCTGTGACACTGTGACAACTGCTTCATTGATTCTCCCACACGGTAATGGGCTCTGCCTGGCGTCCCCGGGGTAATGGGGGACACCCACACTGCTCAGGAACTCTAGGAATGCTCTCCACCTGTCCCCTGCTTGGCTCCTGCTCCTTCCCCAGGGCCTAGGCACAGTGACAGTGACTTGTGTGCTCTAGAGAACACACGCATGTTTGAAGTTGGCTGCAGTGTGTCTGTCTGGTTGGTGACTTTGTTCCTCTGGATTATGAGATGATGATCAAACTCACGACTTAGTTTGCCAAGCAGGCGCTTACACCACTGAGCTAAATTCCCTGCCCAAGAGTCCCATCTTTTAAAGGAAATAGCACCTTCTGTGGTGAGAATTGATCATGAAATCTGAGGGTGTTTGTACGTGTTAAGATCACTGCAGGGCACCAACGCGTGTATCAGAGGAAGTGTAAAAAGGAACTGCAGCACTCGGGAGATTGAGGCAGGAGGGTCACTGGACTACGAAGCGAGTTCCAGGCTGCCTGAACTGTATAGTGAGACCCTGTCTCCAGAAGACAAAGAAAGAAAAAAGGAACTACAGCATGGTTCCAAATAGGAGTTTGAGCTTTTCCCTTTGTCCACTAGAGGATGTAACCTTCCACCACACTGCTTTTTGGTAACCTGCTAGACAGTGTGCCTTTGATATTTTTTTTTGCTTGAAAAAAAAAAAAAGAAATTCAAGACCTTTTTTCACCAGAAAGTTCTGCAGCAGATTCATCTGCAGGGTGGGGCTGCTGAGGAATCCGGCAGCAGGTTCCAGTTGTGCTCAGCTCCTGGGAAGTGCGCACCAGATCAAGAAACAGCCGTAGCCAGTCTGGGCACAGGCACTTTGGGACAAGAGCACGTTCTATTTCATCGCTGGGCAGGGCCCCTCCTGACTGGTGCCTTAGTCACCAGAGGGTTTTCCTGCTGAGGAATCCGGGACTGTACATAGCAGCATGTGAAGTCCCCGCCTGCGGGCTAAGGCTGCAGTGTCTCCGGCTGAGAAGGGCGCTCCTATCTGAAACTGCAAGGTGCATATCTGGATGAGCAAAGTTCACACAGAGCCTCCAGCCACTGACTTCCCATTAGGAAGGTGCTGTTGAATAAGCAAGCAAGTAAGGACGCTCTGTCTTTTTTGGAGCCGGGCTCAGCTTTCTGGTGGATCAAACAAGTGTTTCATTGAGCCCTCATTGCTGGCCGCTCAGATGACAGACTGAGCAAAATAGCCATGCTGGCTGCCCTCAAGAAGGAACCACTGTTCCTGCACAGAAAAGACACAAAGGAAGTCAGAATGTGGAGGAAAGGAAAGCAAGCAGGCTGGGAGGAGCAGTTTCAGATAGCGTGACCAGCCAACACCCAGGGAGGCGACCTGCAGCACGATTGTAAAGTCAGGAAACAAGGCTTAAGACACAGAGGAAGGACACTGCAGAGGGGCAGCCCGTGCACTGGGCCATCGACACAGAGGGCTTTGGCGGGTGTTGGGGACAGTGGTAGGGTACTGAGTGGGTCCTGGGTCCTTCCATGGAAGACATGACCTCTGGGCGGGGTTGGAGCCCCTACTCCTGAGAAGCGGGACGTGGGAAACGGCTTGTGCATGTGACAGGGGACATTCCCGGGACAGCTGATGCCGCATCCCAGCCTCGGCCTTAGTACTGTGTCCACGAAGCCAGAGCCCCCATCTCCCTCGTAGAGGGCAGCCTGTGTCTTGTCACCATCTTGTCCATTTCTACCTTGAAGGCAGCCCTTGCAATGGGAACACTGCACACTTCGTTTTTCTTTTCTTTTCTTTTTTTTTTTTTTTTTTTGTCTTTTTCGTTTTTATCGGTACCAGGGATCGAACTCAGGACCGCCTGCTTGCAAGGCAGGTGCTTATGCCGCTGAGCTAAATCCCCAGCCCCACACACTTCGTTTTTCAACAAAGAATAGATTTGTTTCACTGAAGGCATTATTTAAATTGCCAACAGAAAAACTATAAATAGTGTGTTCTATAATCTTCATAAGGGGAAGCCTGTGTGAGCTCTACATGGTTCACAGAAAGCAGTTATTTGTTCTGTTTATCTTCCGAGATCAACTGTGCAGCTATGGCAGGAAACTAGTTCTGTTATTGCAAATGTACTTAAAGTAGATCTGAGTTAGTCCTTGGGAGGTCGCTTGTCTCCAGACAGTTGGCTGTGGACAGTTATGTAATAGTTACATAACGCGCTCAGACCTCAGCTACTGCCGGCAAAGCCTCTCCACTATCGCACTAAGTCAGCACAAGACTCCTGTAAACCCCTTCTTACCCAAACGAAGGCCTGGATTTTCAGCATTAGCTCCTAGAGGGTCACTTGGTTAGCAGGGCTGTTCCTGTCCCTTGGCTTTCTCAGGTCAGATCTGTGACAAGAACCTACAGGAAAGGGCTGGAGATTTAGCACGGTGACAAAAGTGTCTGCCTGGCAAGTGCAAAATCTTGAGTTTGATCCTTGGTATCAAAAAAAAAAACAAAAAAAAAAAAACCCTGCAGGAAAACTTGGGGGATTTTTTTGGATTGAACCCATGGCCTTCACACTGAGCTATAGCCCCAGCTCTTTTTAAATTTTGACACAGGGAGCCAGGCATAGTGACACACACCTGTAATCCCAGCACTCTGGAGGCTGAGGCAGGAGGACTGTTGTGAGTTCAAGACCCACCTGGGCTACCTAGTGAGTTCAAGGTTAGGCTGAACTGTATTGTGAGACCCTGCCTCAAAACCCAAAAAATTTTTTAAAATTTCTGAGTCAGGGTCTGAGCTGGGCTTGAACTTAAGTTATGCTTCAGCCTCTCTGAGTGCTGAGATGACAGACAGATACAGACTGTACCACAATGTCAGCAGTTGTCATCTTACATGGAAAAGCTACGGGCAAGGGGTTGGGGATTTAGCTTGGTGGTATAAGTGCCTGCCTTGCAAGCGCGTGGTCGTGAGTTTGATCCCTGGTACTGGTAAAAAAAAAAGAAAAACTATGGGCAGAGGCTGGTTTCAGGCGCCACCACCGCTGGACCCTCTTCACCCTTCTGCAAGTTAACAGGGAAGATAAGGAGAGCCCAGAGTGAAATACAGGCTTTATTTCCCCGGACTCGCCATGTGCTTTGTTCCTGATTTTTTCCCAGCAGCTCCTTCTGACCTTGTGAAGGGCCCATTGGCCGGCCGCCTTTTGACTCATCCTGGCCCTCGCCTGCAGACTTCCTCTCTGGTGGCTTCAGACCTGGCTCCCCGGCCAGCCTGCCTCTGCTCCCCCACGCTTCGAGGACACCAACCGCAGCCCCCCACCACCACCACGGCCCCTTTCTGTTGAAATTGACTTTCAGAGTTCACTTGTGATGCAGGCTCAGGGCTTTACCCACCGCCCCCGCAGCAGCGCACCTTTTCTGGAGTCCCTCCCTCCTATCCCCTTTGTCACTTTGCTTTTTCCTTTGGCTTTGAGCTCTTGCTGACTCCTTCCCACACTTCCCAGTGGCCTCACAGCAAGGCCAGTCACATTAAGTAATCTGTCCCAGTGTTTTAAGAAGTGCATGGAAAGTTTTCCACAGTTTCACTATGAGTATAAGGGGAACTGCCCTAGCACACCAAGTCCCAGGTTCATTTTATTAAAGTTTGAAACAGGATTTCACAAAGTTAGCTAGACTGGATTCCAACTCAAAATCCTCCTGCTTCAGCCTCCCAATGTATGGGATTACAGGCACGCACCATTACACCAGCCAGGCCAGTCTTTTGCAGTGCCTTATTTGGACCAGGCAGAGCCACTGCCTGAGTTAAACCTCTGCCTAGGAGGTCCATCTTGTGTTTCGGGTCTACTGCGCAGAGGAATCTGAGATTCCTTGTTAGTCAGGTTGGGTTAGTGCCTGAAAGGATCTATTTCTCACAGTCTCCCAGGACAGTCTCACTGAAGGCAGCCCTGTGGCTTTGGACAGGTTGGACACCAGCCGTCCTGACCACTGGTCTACTGAGGTGCACATAGACGCAGTTCCCCATGCCAGTCACAGTTCCTGGTTCTCTGCTCCCCAGGGCTTGTGTCCTGCGCAAGGTAAGTCTGAGGGTTCTTGTTCACACGGATGCAGGGAGGAACATCAGAGACCTGCTCTCTGTTTAGTAAGATGAGGCAGTGTTAGGAGAAATACAATTAACAGCAAAATTTCCCAACTCAGGAAGCCCTCCCTAGAGGTCAATGAGAAGAAACAGTCTTACTGAGTAAGCATCCAGCTAAAAGGTGAGGCAACCTGCTGAAAAGATTGTGAAGACATAAAGGAATCTCCCTCTTATGTGCCCGGGCAGGTGGGCAGGACGCTCAGTGGGTCTCACCTTGCAGTCAGGTTGAGCCCATCTCTGAGTGCCGGCAGTTCAAAGAGAGGGTTCTGGGGTTCTGGAGGAAATGTTCCTGATGGGCGAGTCTGAGAGACTTATTTAGCCACTAACGCAGACCTGTGATCTCAGCACTCTGGGAGGCTAGACAGGAGGATTGCAGATTCAAGCCCAACCTGGTCTATTTAGTAGCTTAGCAAAAATCTGTCTCAAAACCCTTAAAACAGCTGGTGATGTAGCTCAGGATGAAGGCTTTGGGTTCAATCCCAAGTATGGCAAAATAACAACAACAACAAGATTTATAAACATCTGGAAAGAACTCAGAATTTTTGAAAGGAAAGAGTTGGTCATATTCCTGCTACTCTACGGGAAATTCTGCTGGAGTCTTTCTGCTTATCCTCACATGGTATGATTTCAATAGCAGTTAACCTCTGTCTGGGCCTCAGAAACAGTCCTGTCCTAGCCCTTCCTGACTGACTACCTTTTGACACTGTGTTCCCAGACACCATGAAGTGGTCAGGAGCCGCTGCTGGCCTGGCTGCCGGAAGTGAGGCCTGTGTCGCTGTGACTGGGTGGTTTCTCATGGGAAGTACAGTCCTTCCTGATGTGACACTGCCGGCACAAACAAGATGACAGATTAGATGTGTCTAATTTTATCCCGGGAGGAAGGAGGACAGCTGTCATGGAGCCTCTGCAGGAGCTGCTTCACCAAGAATGGTGGGCTTCAGAGAGGCCCTCCAGCAGGGCCTGAGTCGCCACCCCAGCAGAGGTGCTGAGGTGGCACCAACTATGAGTTGGATTTTATCCAATTGCAACAGACTGTAATACTCTTACTTAAAGTTCTGAGTTAGTTTTGCTCCTCCAGGGCAGGGTGGGAAACCCTAATTACCAAATCTGAGTGTCCATGTCCTCACTTGTGATATGGACTGCACACACCTTCTGCAGTGGTCAGGAGATCTCAGAAAGACAGAATGTGTAGTGCTTACCAAAGGGCATGAGGTGGGCCTCCATAAAGGCTAGAAGCAGGCCAGGAATATAGCTCTGTGGCACAGTGCTCATGTGCAAGGTCCTGAGTTCTATTCCTATTAGTCAGAAAAGCTAGAAGCAAAGGGTTGGGGTGAGACTCAGTGGAAGAATATGTGCCTAGCATGTGGGAGGCCCTGGGGTCCATCCCCAGCACCAACACAAGAAAGAAACATTTCTACTAAAAACAAAAACAAAAACCTCCCCTTTTTTGCTTTTTTTTTTCTTTTTCCCTCCTTGGTACCAGGGATCGAATTCATGACCTCACGCCTGCCAGGCAGGTGCTTATGCCACTGAGCTAAATCCCCAGCCCCATCCTCCCCTTTTTTTGAGACAGGGTCTCCATATGTATAGTTCAAGTTGGCCTGAAACCCATAATGATATTCCTGCCTCAGCCTCATTAAGGTTGGGATTACTGATGTGCACCACCATTCCTGGTTTAAAAAGGACACTTTTGGGCAGGGGATTTAGCTCAGCACTCTAAACACCTGCCTGGCAAGGACAAGATCCTGAGTTTGATCCCGGGCACCAAAAAAAAAAAAAAAAAAAAAAAGATTAAAAAGGACACTTTTATCTGTCTGATTTACACAGGAAGGGACTAGGAAGGAGGGTCCAAGAGTTCAGTGGATGGGACTGGGGATTTAGCTCAGGTGCGCGGTTGTGAGTTTGATCCCCAGCACCAGAAAAAAAAAAAAGAAAAGGAAGGAGAAAGCAAAAAAGTGCTTCTTCAAAATAACTTTTAGATACCTCGTCAGCACAGGGCTGTCAAATGTACACAAATAAAAGCACAGGGCATGTGGCTTAATTTGAAATTTGGGTGAACAGTGAATGATGATTTGAACTCATGACCACATGCTTGCCATGCAGGTCCTTACACCACTGAGCTAAATCCCCAGCCCCTGAATAATTCTTGTAGTAATAAGTAAGTCTTAAATACTGCATGTGGCATGCCTATACAAAAAACCACATATTTGAGCTGGGTGTAGTGGCACAGGAGGAGGCTCAGGAGGCTCAGGAGGCTGAGGCAGGAGGATCATGCCAATTTGAGACCAGTCTAGGCTACAAAGTGAGGGCCAGGGGTTTGGCTCAGCAGTACAAGCACCTGCCTGGTCAGTGTGAGATATAAGTTTGACCTCCAGTACTAAAAAAAAAAAAAAATAGCTCAAGGCCAACCTGAACTGCATAGTGAGACCCTGTCTCAAAACAACAACAACAACAACAAATATATATATATATATAATTCAAAATACAACTGTTTGTCTTCCTGTTTCATCTTCCTTAACTCTAATTTAGTGGCACCAAAGTGATCTTTCAAGGTTTCCAGGGCAGGATTGCCTTTGGCATCCCTGCCAGGCCAAGACAGCTCAATATGCTGCTCCCCTGAACAGAAAGGGGCACCCCTATTGCACTTTACCTGCGCCCCAGCTCCTGGAAAGGAGCAGTGGTGGAGAAACAGCCCCACCCTTTCCGGGCTTTAGAAATCCATTCCATGAGCCCCCCAGACGCCCTGGGTGCTGGCTTGCTTAGAACCTTCCAGATTCCCACTCCTGGTCTCTAAGTGACCTGAGCAACCACTGTCCCCAGGGACCCTGGCCCAGCCTCGGTGTGGGCAGTACACAGTCCCTCCAAGGGGCCCTCCCAGGAAACAGGCGTGCTCCCACCCACCTCCCTTCACCCATTCTGGGGCACCAGCTTCGCCCAGCCCTGCTCACCCCTCAAATCCCTCAAGTTTGCAAGGTTATTGTGTGGCAATCCTGCCCCCTCCCCACCCTCTCTGTCTTCCTCTCCCTCCCTCTCTGCTCCTTGTCCCTCTTCATTTCTCTGAAGGTCAGACAAGGTCAGCTTGGGTGTGGTGACCTGAAGTTTTAGCAGGGTGACTTATACAGAAGCTCCAACACATCAGGGCCTCCTGCTGAGTTTCTAGTTAACAGCAGGAAAACCAGCCTCCCCTACTCATCAGGTGGCATCTCCTTTGTGTGCTTTGGAATTTTCAGTCTCAAGAAGGCTCCAGGCAATGCTGACCATTGTGTATCCCTGCATCCCTGGTGCCCCGCAGGGGGCCCTAGTTTGCATGCAGTGTTTGTGAAAGAGACAGTAAACAGAGGCCTGTGACATTGGGGAGTCCTGCTCATGGCTGAACTAAAGCCAAGCCAGCTAAAACCAAGGGCTCAGAGAGGTCACGGCTTGCAAACCTTTGGTGCCCGGTAGGCTGGTAGTCATCAGACTGATGGGCTGAGGGCAGAACTCAGGCGAAGTGTTTGCTTAGCATGCAGGAAGCCCAAAGCACCATAAATGCATAAATTATGCTGACCACTCTTTTCATCATATATTTCCCATTCTTCTGTATTTTACAGAACATTCCAAAGGGTGAAAGGGGGTGAGGTTACAGTAAAAGAGTATCATCTTCTCTGTCAGACAGGAAACTTTTAAGTCACTGGGAACCTGCAAATTAAACTGACAAAAAACAGATTAGCTAGAGAAAAGACCAAGTTTTTTATTCAGTTACACAAGCATTCATAAAAAAAAGTGATTCTATGTATGCAACAAATGTGGAAAAAAAAAGTGATTCATGAAATGCTTAGAATTTGGGGCTTGTATAGTCCACCTTAGTAAAGGAGGGGGACTTTTTTATTTCTTTTTTGTCTTTTTTGGGACAGGGTTTTTCTATGCAGTTTAGGCTGGCCTTGTAGCCTAGGCTGGTCTCGAACTTGCAACGATCCTCCTGCCTCAGCCTCCCGAGTGCGGGGATTACAGGCGTGAGCCACCACGACTGGCGAGGTGCGGGACTTTTTAACATGGCAGCTATTTCAGTTTGTGACAGTATCTGTCTCAGTGATTTCTTATCCTGCTGAGTCCAGTGATAAGTGATAGAAGTAAAACTTCTAAAACATTGCAAGGAAGGACTTAGGACCCTTGGACTCGGGAGATTCTTTTTTAGGCAGATAAAGGGAATTTAAAGAAGAAATGAAAAGGAGAAAAAGATTTCCTTTGCCTTATTCCGGATACCTTTTCATCCTCCATCTACTTTTTCCCTTTTATTTTATTTATTTATTTATTTTATTTTATTTTCTAAATTTCTTTGGGGCCGGGATTAGCACTCAGGGCCTTGTGCATACTCCACTGAGCTACACCCCTGGCCTTTAAAAATAAAAACAAGCTAATTTTGCTATGAATCAAGGAAATTACCCTGGACTTCCCTTCCTCCAGGGAAGGGGAAGTTGAAAAGTCTTTGGGTCTCCTCCCACTGTACCTTTACCTCGTCCCCTCTGTCCCTCCCCGTCCCCCTTCCTGTCCGTGCTTGCCCGTGGCCCACGGCAGGCCGCCATGTGTGTGGGCAGCAGTGACACCTGGGTCACTTGAAGGAGGTCACCTGTCTCCTAAGGCGTGTAATTCACCACCTAGGAGGTAGCTTCTGTGCTGGAGGAAGCAGCTGATCCCCAGAAGCATTTCAATGACTGCAAATTCCAGGGCAGGATGGAGAATCTTATTTATTCTTATTTATTCAGCCAGGCACCTCAGACCCACGGGGGACAGCACAAGCTGCCCACAGGAAACAGCTTCCGCCTGAGCACCAATTTACCTTCTTTTCATCTCGTCCTCGGAGCAGACTGCTTATCTCTACTTGGTAGATAGGGACACTGGGAAGGAGCCAATAGATGCTAGGCTTTGCACAGGGAAACTCTCTGGATCTAAGTAAAAAGTCACAATGCCTGCCTGGCAAACACTAGGTCATGAGTTCAATTCCCGGTACCAAAAAAATAAATAAAAGGGCCTGGGATTTAGCTCAGTGGCCTAAGCACCTGCCTGGCAAGCACAAGGTCGTGAGTTTGATCCCTGATACCAAATAAAAAATAAATAAATAGAAATAAAAAGAAGCCGGGTGTGGTGGTGCATGTCTGTAATCTTAGCACTCGGGAGGCTGAGGCAGGAGGATCACTGCAAATTTAGGACCAGCCTAGGCTACAAAGTGAGCTCAAATCCAGCCCAAACTGCATAGTGAGGCTGTCTCAAAAAAAAAAAAAAAAAAATTACACAAGGACTCCATACCTATAATCTCAGCTATTCTGGAGGCTGACACAGCAGGATTGTGAGTCTGAGACCATCCTGGACAATTTACCAAGACACTGTCTTAAAATGAAACATAAAACAGGCTGGTTACATAGTTTAGTGGTTAGAGGACCCCTGAGTTCATTCCTAGTGCCACACACGTACACATACCACACACGTGCATGTGAGTGCATGAATGTCGCTGTCCTGTGATTTTAAATGAACAAAAAGTGTAGGGGCTGGGGGCTGGGGATTTAGCTCAGTGGCATAAGCACCTGCCAAGCAGGCAGTCATGAGTTCGATCCCTGATACCGATAAAAAAGAAAAAGACAAAAAAAAAAGTGTACAAATATTAAAACTATTTTAGGTACAAACTGTCTAAATGTCCATTTGTGGTTTTCCCAGTTAATGAAGACATGGAAGGAGAGGAGATTGAGAAGGACCAACAAGCAGGAAAGAAACAGAGACATGTGCAGTCCAGATCAGAAGACACACAGGGGTCAGGGAGACACCCAGTGGGGAAGAGGCCAGCCCTGGCTTTCCCGCTCAAGAGAGCCTGGCCTTATTTTACAGTGCAGCTCCGGCTCAGCTGGTTTTCAAGCTCTCCTGGGAGCATATCAATGGTGTCAGCAACACCTAACGCGACTTCAGGAGTGCACTCAGTCTCCTGGTTGCAGGCCACAGTTACTGAACATGATGGTTTGGCGTTGACATTTATGTCACAGTTTGAGGCCACCTCTACCATGCACACATGCTATCAGATATATGTGCATATGCCTATTGGGTGTGTAACAGGAAACTAAATGCATTTTTAAAAAAAATTTTTTGGCCAGTACTTAGCATTGGACCCCTGGCCTTTGCACTAAGCTGTGTCCCCAGCCTCTTTATTATTATTACTATTTGGGACAAGATCTCACTAATTAAGCACCCAGGCTGAGCTGGAACTTCCCATGCCTCAGCCTCCCAGAGTGTAGACATGCCAGGCTCAATAAAATCTTCTGGTGATAAAGAGTGGGCACTGGCTGAGCTTTTCTGCTGGTTGCGTCTAGAGCCGTCCTTTCCTGGGTTAAACCAGGCAGCCACAACCCCCTGCCCGCAGGAGGGAAGCCCTGATTATGGGAGCCAGTACTACAGATAGTGCAGTCTCCTGGAGATGATAGGAGCCAGAGCTCCCTCTCTGTTCCTCCACATAGGGACCAGTGGCATGAACCAGAAGGACAAGGCATTTTCGTATTCCAGATGCACTGCTCATCTCAATCCTGCTATAACTGTGCTCGCCCCAGGGAAAAATTCTGCCGGCTCGGTAGGAATTGCCTCCCTCCAAAAGAAAATGAACTCAGATGAACCATTCAAACATGCATTTGCTCTTCGCTTCCTGAACCTTTTATGTCATTTATTTTGTTTTTGGTGCTGGGATCGAACTCGGGGCCTTGTGTGTGCTCATACGTCCTACCACAGAGCCCCACCGCCATCCCAGCTGTCTCCTTTGTGCCCAGCTGTGGGATAGACACAGCTCCCCGTACTCTGAAAGGAACACAGTCCCTGAGTTCTCAGCGCCTCCTCGTTTCCACCCTCACACAGATCCAGCCCCACGCCAGTTTACAGGGTGTCAACTGCAACCCTGCTTAAAGGCCTGAGATGGTAATAGCATAATACTCCTGCTTTTAGAAAGTGAGGTCACAATTTTTTGGAATACACTGCATCCCCTGGGCTTTGTAATTTCGGTCTTTCCGTACAAACAACACAATAGTTGGAACTAGCTTCAGGCCAACAGCTCAGCAGCTCGCTATTGTCCTGTTACCCAGAATAGAGAGTGCCCTTGTTTACTTGGCTTTCAATGGAGGAACATCCTTTATCTTCCTCGGAATGCATAAAACTTCCTGTTGCAGAACTCGAAGCCTTGAGTGGTGACTTTTCCTTCTGGAACAATCTGGCCAGTTGACCGAGTGCTGGGAGCTCTGGAGAGGAAATGCTTTCCAGGTTGCCAGGTTTCGGAGAACAGGAAGCCACCGCTGTTGTGGCCCTGTAAGAAAACAGTCATCTCCCAGAGTGGGATTCCTCTGTCCCCTTGAGGCCCAACAATTGGTTGTGGAAGTGGCCCTGGGAACAGACACTTGCCAGGGTAACAGTGGCACTCGGAGAGCCGGAGAGCCGGCAGGGGATGTCACAGATCTTTAGCCCTGGCAGATGTCTGCTGTGGAAAACAGAAGCCTGATGCATCCTGGACATTTAATTCTCAAAATAGCCAAAACTTGGAAGCAACCGAAGCCAATCAATGAAGGAAATTATGGTCTAGCAGTACAGTGGAAAAATGCTTACTATATTTTGATGAGGGGAAAAATGGGTTTCAATACACTGTATGATTCTACTTTACAAAGTGCAAAGTCAGGTGACAGGGAGAGATGGCAGAAAAGTGTTTCTTTGGAGGAGAGATCTGCAGGCTAGAAAGGGGCAGGAGATGTTGAACACTCTTTATATTGTTCCACAAGGCAGTTAATGGGTTTGTGTGTATAGAAATACACCTAAAATGTGTGCCATCAGTGTCATTTATAAAGAAGAAAACACTGTGTACATATTGTGTGGTTTCCTTTACAAAGTTTTAGAACAAGCGTGGTGTGGTTATGCGCGCCTGTAATCCCAACACGGGAGTCTGAGGCTGGAGGATCACTGAGAGTTCCAGGCCAGCCTGGGCTACAAAGTGAGTTCAAGGTCAGCCTGAACTGCATAAGGAAACCCTGTCTCAAAAAAAAAAAAGTATAAGAATAGGAAAGCTAGGCTACAACTTTATTTACTTAGACCCGCCTCACCTTGTGGTTTTGTGCGATAAAATCCTAGGAAAGACAGAGTCCCTGGCAACACACTTGGGATCCCTTCTGTCTCTCTCTCAGACAGAAGCTTTCTTTCTCTCAGTAAATACGTTCTGCTCTTAACCTCTGTTGATCCTAAAATTCATTTTTCGATTTTAGAAAACACGAACTTGTTCTGGACATAGTAGGTCAGGAGTTTCACCCCCCTGTATCACTTTCATGACATTCTTTTAAAAAGTATTATGTATCCTATGGTTCGGAGTTTATGTTGGAAGTATATATGCAAAGAGAAAAGACCTAGATGGGTACCTGTGTTCATGTCCTAAGGCTGCCATAAAAAATACCACTCAGGGGCTCCAAACCGCACACGTGCTATTTTGCAGGAGTCTGATTGGGTCTCACCGATGTGTGACCAGGCTTGACTACCCTTGGCCTGCCTAGCAAATCTAGGCGAATCTCTTTTAAAGTTGAAAGGGTTTTGGCCCAGACAGGACACTGTAGCCAGGAAAGCCTCAACCGGAAGCAGGAAGCCCCATCTCCCCCGCCCCTAGGAAGTTACCTGTGACGCCATCTTCCCCCTTAGGTTCCACCCCAAACCCAGGCTGCTTACATGCCATCCATGCCACGTGGCCCCCGGAGAGATCGCTGGATGCCAGCGGTGGCGGGTGCCGGTCATCTCTCTCCGTCTTCTCAGAATAAAGGCCACTTTTTGTTTTATACTTCTCATCTTTTGGAAATAATCCTATCAAAAGTTAGCTGAGGGGCAACCCTAACTCACCTGCAACCTTGGCTTCCTTTTCCTTGTGCTCTAACTTACTCACAAGTTTAAGTTTTAGGATGTGTTATAGTAAGACGCTAAAAATTAAAATAATTGATCAAAAGATAATTAACAAAAATAGTTACTTAAAAAGATAGTTATTAGTAATATTGTCATTCTGTACTGAGCTCATTACCCTAGTAACCAAGCACCAACCACATAGTTATAAATTAACTGACCACGTTGTTCTGCTGTTCTGTAATGTGTCATCCCCCCCACCTTAGTGATCTGTGTGCAATGTCAACTTTTGTTCCCCTTGTAAGAGACAAATGATGCCGTGTCAACCATTGTTCCCTTTATGAGAGACAAATGTTCCTGGAATTGGCAGACAAAGGGCTATGAATTGGCTAACCACCCACTGTGAGATGCCTCTGACCTCAAGCAAAGGGGAACAAAGCCCACCTTATTTCTGTTTCTTATCACTATGTACTTAATGATCAATGAGCTAATCATAAATGAACTATAAAAACCAGTCAAAACTCTAACTCAGTTGCACAGCTTTGCAAATTCCACCTGCACTGTGTCGCTGGGCCAGCTAAATAAAAGCGCTTCTTTTAAAAAAGACGTCTTGCCCCGTTTGTCATCTTGGGGTCTTGCCCTGTTTTTCATCATGGGGCCCTGTTTTTTGAGTAGAGTACAACAGGATGCAGACATCTTTATAAAGTGGTCCATAAAAATTATCAGAGGTCACTGTTTGAGACTGAACTCCCACAGCGGGCCCACACAGATTAGACTAAACACCAAAATGGAGTCCCCTCCTACCAAATTTCACCTCAGCAAGCCAAAGCCCAGTTCTTGTCTGACCTGAAAAGTCAGAAGAATGAGAGACAGCAAATTTTTTCCTCAAAGGTCACCTGACCAAACAGTGGAGTTCCCGCTGCCTTTCTGACTTAGTCCTTATAAAAAGTAACCCAAAGTATCTTGATGTTAGTTATTCTTTTACAAGCCTCTTTGTCCCTGCCTTAAAACAATAGTAACTTTGAAATGGCTGATACACCTTTTTTCTTTTTTTGAGACAGGGTCTTGCTATGCAGTTCGGGCTGACTTTGAACTCACTATGTAGTTGAGCCTGGCCTTGAATTTGTGGTGATTCTCCTGCTTCAGCCTCCCAAATGCTGGGATTACAGGTTTGTGTCACCATGCCCTGTGCCTTCTTTTACCTTTTCACTTTTTGCAAGTGGGTGGATTGACCTTGGGGGCTTAGCCTTGCAAGGCAAGTACTCTCCCTTGCACTGAGCTGCATCCCCACCCTTTACACATTATTTTCTGTTGTTTTTTTATCTTTAGACATGGGTCTCATTAAATCATTAAGTTGTCTAGGCTGGTTTGAATTTCCAGTTCTCCTGCTTCAGCTTCCTGGAGTGCTGAGATTACAGACCTGAACTGCCATACCTAGCTTGCTTCTGGTTTTAGTCCTGCTTTCTTTAGCCTTTCTCTGTCTGTTATAAAACTGAATTTTTTGTTCGCTTGTTCCGTTTGATGGAGTAAAAGGTCGCTGGAGTCTAAAACCACGAAATGAAGCCTGCTGACATTGGTAAACTGGAATTTTTGTCCTTGGAAAGGGGAAGTTACTCTGCACACTGCCAACAGGGGCCCTATATAAGGCTCAGAATTATCCTTTCTAAACTCTAACATTTTCCACTATCCCTGTTTACTTTTGGTATCGGGGATCCAACTATGACCTCATGCTTGCCAAGCAGGCACTTATGCCACTGAGCTAAACCCCCGGCCCGTCTTTTTTTCTTATCTGTATTTGTAAACACATTTCCAGAAATACACATGTTCTTTTTGAGGTGGGAAAAGTTAAACCTCAGTTGACTATTCATTTATTTATTTTGGGTTTTCGTTTCTTTTTAAAATTTTATTTACTTATTTATTTATTCATTTATTTTTGAGATGGGAGCAGTATACCATTCAGGCTGGCCTCGAAGTAGCTCTGGATGGCCTCAGATTGGCAGCAATCCTACTGCCTTAATGTCCCAAGTGTTGGGATCACAGGTGTGGCCCTCTGGGCCTGGCTGAGGACACCTTTGTACACTGTGTTCATGTACCACTCAGTACGTCTCTGAGCAGCTGACAAAGGACCTGGGATATGTTTAGCATTCTTTTTTTTTTTTTTTTTTTTTTTTTTTGAGAGAGTCTTACTATGCAGTTCAGCATGGACTTGAGCTCACTTTATAGCCCAGGCTGGTCTTAAATGGAAATAATCCTCCTGCCTCAGCCTCCTGAGTTCTGGGATTATAAGCACGCCCAGCAATTATGTTTAACATTTAAAAAGCCCTTTAGGCTGAGGCAGGAGGATCATGGTAAATTTGAGGCCACTCTGGGGCACATAGTAAGATCCTGTTTCAAACAACAACTACATATCCTTCAAAGGAAAAGAAAATCCCTGTAGGGCATATGGATAGCTCTCTGTAAAGCCCCTGGTCTATCCTCACACTCCGAAAGCTAAAAATATATAAATTAGAAACCTTTTGCTTTCAGCAAATCACCTGTTACCTCCACCCTTGGAAATGTGCTTTTTTCAGGAATGTAGTCATTTTGTCCAGAAAAGCATGTTTCCTGCTTCCATTTTTCAAATGTTGAAGTTTTAAATTTTGCAGTAAAAGAATGCTTTACTATAGAACATGAAAGCAAATGAGTTTCGCTTTGAGAATAAATATTGGTAATTTGTAGGTAATGTCTCTGAGTCCCTCTGTGACACCAAGGAAGGTCCCTTGGGGCGTCTCTGAGAAGTGAGCCCCACCTCAGGCCACAGGTCTCCAGAGCCTGGCACTTCACCCTTGAGGTTCACCCTCTTGCTTGTATATGTGGTGGGACATAGGCTGAATGCAACCTCAAACACATCTGCTGCCGCAGACTGGATAAAGAAGTGGCACGGGGGCTGGGGATTTTGCTCAGCAGCATAAGTGCCTGCCTTGCAAGCAGGCAGTCCTGAGTTCGATCCGTGGTACCAATAAAAAAAAGAAAAAGACAAAAAAAAAGAAGTGGCACGTAGCCAGCCAGGCGTGGTGGCACATGCTGGTAATCTCAGCTGCCCAGGAGGCTGAGGCAGGAGGATGTGAGTTCCAGGCCAGCTCGGGCTACGTAGTGGGTTAAAGGCCACTCTGCACTACATAGCAAGACCCTGTCTCAACAACCCAAACATCAAAAAAAAAAAAAAAAAAAAGAATTGGAGATATAGCTCAGTGGTAGAGCCCTTGCCTAGGGTGTGTGAGGTTGTGGATTCAGTCCACAGCACCAAACTTTTTTTGAAGGAGGCGAAGAAACACTTGCCACGTTGAGTGCCTCTCACTGGTAACTCACCCTGAACACTGCTGAGCCTGGCTGAGTTTTCAGTCTTCAGGACAAGCAATGCAGGTTAGGAGGGGGATAGCTCCTGCCTCCCCGGTGTGTCATGTGTGTGTGTGTGTGTGTGTGTGTGTGTGTGTGTGTGTGTGTGTGTGACGCATCTTGTTGCTTTCCCCTGGTGTGGGAGCTGCACGTTTTATCCTGCTCTCAGGCCTCAAAGACTCCCCAGGCATCGCCTCTGTCTCGCAGAGCCAACTCCGGCTGCTAAACGCAGGTGCAGGTAAGGATCTGCACAGGGCACCTGCGGAAAGGAGCTGCCAGTGCCCTGCGTGGAGCTCTAGAAGTGTCCACCTGTCCCTTCCCTCCAGGCATAGACTTCAGACAAACCATTCGGGCCACAAGAAGCAGGAACCCGAGTCTCCTCGAAGTTCCTGCTCTCAGAGCTGCTTTATTCCTGTCTTCAGTCATCCATTTCGAAAACCAGCCCCGCTTCCGGTGCTTTCCTGGGCTTCGCTGTCCACTGGTTACAAATAAAACTGCTAACTACAGATGTGGGTTTTTTCCTTTACAAACCCCAGCCGGCGTCGGTGGCTGTGGGTTTTGTTCAGAGCTGGGGCTCTTTTAGTTGATCCTTGGCGACTGAGCTGGGGAAGGGCGCTCAAATCCATGGCTACGCTGCTCCAGGCCCTCTTAGGGCTCAGAACTCGGTTCTCAGCTATGCAGGGGCTGCGGAGGGGTCTCAGGGGTTTTCTTCCTGGCTTCTACTTCCTGCTGGTGCAGCCTACCTCCAAGAAAGGGGACTTTTCCGCACTGGCGGCCCTGGGAGTTACTGAAACAGAGCAGAGTGTTCCCTTGCTTTCAAAACACGGGGAACAAATCTGTTTCCTACATGGAAAGGAACAAAGTCAGCACTGAAAGAGGTCGTGGGAGATGTTTTCCAAGTGCCTCTGAGTACTTGGCATGAGGAAGCAAGAATACTCATATTTAAAATACTCCTTTTTGTCAAGGCTGACTTGAAGTCGGTTCATTGTTTGGTAAAGAAAAGAGCAAGGAATGAAGAGCTTTTTAAACATTACAAAAATTCACATTAGGGCCTGAGGTGTAGCTCAGGGGTAGAACACTTGTCTAGTACATGTGCGGCACTGGATCTGGCCCAGGCATTGCAAAATAAAAAAGCAAGATGCGTATCAGTGTAAGCAGTTAAGCCAGTTGTGGTAGGGCAGCATGCCTGTAATTCCAGCACTCAGGAGGCTGAGGCAGGAAGATCTAGAACACCATGTGTTTGAGACCAGCCTGGGATACAGAGCAAATTCAAGGTTAAGCTGAACTATAGAGCAAGATGCTGTCTGGAAAAATAAATCAATAAATAAATGAAAGAAAGAAAGAAATTGATGTACTCAAGGAAGTCCTAAGTAAGGCAGAACTCTGAGACCTGCAAGAGTGGCCTGAGCCAAACCCAGCCCTGATCTTACATCTGGGTAACACAGAGAAGGGCTGAGCCAGGAGGGATAGCGGGGGCCCAGGAGGACAGGGGCCAGGCTGGAAGGCTCTCCAGGGAAGAGGCCTGAAGCTGAATTCTAGGGACAGGCCTGGGCTCAGGGTGTGTTCAGTGGGATCTCAGAGTTTGCTACCTCCTCCCTCCTTCTCTCTCTTTCCTTTTCTCTCTGAGACAGAGTCTCTCTATGTAGCTCAGGCTGTCAACATCCTCTTGCCTCAGCCTGCCATGTGCTGAGATTACAGGGATACTTATATTTTCTTTTCTTTTTTTTTTTTTGAGGGTTAAGCCTAGGTCTTTCATACTGGACTATACCTTAGCCATTTTGTTTGGTCTTATTTTTATTTTGGGATGAGGTCTTGCTAAATTGGTAAGACATCAAGTCTGGGTTTGAACTTTTGTCTTTTTTAGACAGGGTCTCACTATGCAGTTCAGGCTGGCTTGGAGCTCACATTGTAGCCCAGGCTGGCCTCAAACTCACAATTCTCCTACCTCAGCTGGGGTTACAGGTATGGACTTGCCAAATCCAGCTTCATCTGTTTTCATATTATGCTTGCAGACGTGACAATTAACAGACCAAAAACCAACCAACCAACCAACCAACCAAAAAACACATGCTAAAAATTTAAGACTTTTCATTTAAATTTCACGGTGTTCGTTGTTTTTGTGGTGCTGTGGATGAAACCCAGGGTTTGCACATGCTGGGCAAACTCTCCCACACTGAGCTACACCCTCAACCCTGTGCAAGGACATTCTTAAATCAATAACAGGATGCTCAAACAATCTTGGAACTTCGCCAAAAGGCTTTTCCACAACCTTTTTCTCGGATCCCCTTTTCTCACAGGAGCCATCCCGCAGGATACTCAATGACTGGCATCCTGGCCTCTTGGCCTGCTGTAGATGGGAGTGGGGGCTGAGGCTGTGGGTGGGAGGATTTGGGGGCCAACACCCATCTTTATACAACTGGATCTGAAGCCTTTTGATTCGCTGTGGCCAGCTTTGGGTGGCCAGCGGGTTCTTTGGGGTGCGGGCTGCTCAAGCCAGCTGAGTGTAGAGCTATACTTTGTGGGTGCATGGCAAACGACCAGTCGACCAACTGGGCTTTCATCAAGGAACTGCTGGAGAAGACCTGTCTCTCTTGACCCCAACCATCTCCTGTGGGAAGGAATATCCAGTCAGGATAAGGGAGAAGACAGGCTTTTGTTACAGGGGCATTGGGGGACAAGGTTACTTTGGGGACATTTAGGTCTCTGAGACCTCCCCATTCTCACCTGTTAGATGGCTGAATGATTTGGCCTTTTATGACGGACCGTGGTGGACCACAGCACCCTAAGTACAGGACTGGCCTGACAGATGGCCAACCTCCTTGCACAAGGCAGGCACTGGAGCCCCTCTGAAGCCAGCACTAGGGGCAAGAGCCTTGGAGGCCAGCCGCATTTCATCTGACTCACTTCAGGGCTGACTTGACGGCAGGAATCATTTGTTTTTTCCAAGCTGGACCCACTGAGCAGGCCGTGCCAGTGCCCTGGGGCTGGGGACAGGGGCACCCACAGCCACCGAGCTGCTCACAGCTCTTTGGAGGTGGGGGCAATGCTGCTTTTTCCTGTTCTCCTTCCCCCCCAAGCCCTCATACTAGGCAGTCTCTCAAGATGGTCTGAGATTTCCTGGTTTTATCTACCATCTTCTCAAAAACTCACACCCAGCCATGTGCCCTCTGAGAGTGAAAGAGGCACTGCTAACAATGATACTCAGTCTGCAGGCGTAAACCAAGACTGTCTCAGGACAGCCAGGCTGTGTGTCACTCACCCTAATTATAAGGCATGGAGAGAGAGAGGAAGGAATGTGCCTCATTAATGCAGCCTCTAACCTCCACCCAGCATAAGGCTGTCCTCTGAGCCTCACACATCCCCGATGACAATAGACACTTTTCTGTTATGTAATGCACTCCTGGGCGTCACCAAGTCCCAAGGTAACCCAAGAACAAAGCATGCCAAGCTGCCTATCCAGGAATGCCATGTAACATAAGGACAGTCCCTTCCCCCAAGAATGTGCTTCTCTGAAGTCAAGGTTATAATTCTGCCTCCTTCCCGTAATTGTGTTCATGTGCATGCAGGCACGGCCGCACCTTGAAGCTCCTATCTATATTTAGCGCCTCTTAGCATTGCACGCCTAGACAGTATTTCTTTTATTATTATGTAGGGAGCGCAAACTTTGACTGGCAAGGAACTCCCAGGGGGCGTAAAATGGGCAAGAAATAACAGGCACATTCCAGTAACCATCCACCATCCTCAGCAAGAGGAAGACAGCCCCGGCCTTGCTGGCTTCCCAGATCTACAGAGCTGGTGTAACATCCAGAAAAGCAAATGTAGCTGGTGTAACATCCAGAAAAGCAAATGTAGCAAATGTAACATCCAGCGATGCACACGTAGCCTAGAGAGGATCATCCTGAGGCCCCCTGTCCTCAGGAGCCCAGCTTAGTGCCTGTAGAGGACACCTGCTGCTTTCAGGGGTGGGGAGGGAGGGTGAGTTTTCAATCACAGCTCTTGGTCAGCACTAAATCAAGCTGACAGTCAGCTGAGAACAAAGGAAGAGAAGCTGGAATCCCCGGGCTGAGGGGGAGGATAGGAGCGCTCTGTCAGGAGAAGAAGCAAACTTCTTCCATCCACCTACAGTAGAAAAGAATGTGTAGGTGACAGGATAATTTACGCCCTGAGGAATTCAAACTGTCATCACGCATAGCCACAGGTAACTGACAGTGTCTTTATCCCTAAGCAGAAGGCCACAGTGTAGCGATGCTAAGAGGCCCTTTCACTCCAGCAGCTCACAGTTCCGTTAGGTACCCATGCCTGCTGACTTGCACTTACGCCTGCTCACAAAAGCTGTGGTTGTTAAAAAGTTAGAGCCTTTCTAGACCCCTCCTGCTCCCGTGCTAGGGAAAAGGCAACCACTTAGAAGCTCAGGGAGCAACTTCAGGAATCTGGCCTTGGGCTGAGCCTCCATCTGGATTTGTCCTTCCTAAGAATTTCTTCGAATGTACTGGACACCATTTGCCTCATCTGTTTTGTTGTCTGGGAGGTTATCGATCGGTGATTAAAGATAGCAAGCATCTTCCTAACATGTGAAACTAGAAGGATCCATGAAACAGGTACCCGGGGAGTGGACCGTCCAGTCGCCTCACTGAGCTCGTCCTGTGCCGTCTCTGACGGATGAGGAAGGAGGATACAGCTGCATGGCAGGCACTGTCATAGCTAGGAGGCACCCACAGTCTTAGGCTGTACCCACTTCTCTTTCTTCCCAGTGCTGGGAATCAAACACACACCAGGAAATTGTTGTACCACTGGGCCACCTGTGCAGTCCCTGCCCCAGAGTTCTTGGGCCTTCTTGCCTGGATCTGATTATAAGTCTCACTTTACCCCGTGGTAACAGGAAACCTGCACGAGTTCAGAAGTGTGATTTAGTGTCAACTGATCACAGGTTCCTGTGGAAGACTGTCTCAGAACTGACTGTGGAGGGGGCTGCAGGGACAGGGCATCTGGGGTGCTGGCGTGGATGGCCACACATGGTTTGGCCCCGGGGCAGAGCTGAAGCAGCCACCTCCTGGCTTGTCATCTCTCCAGGGGCACCAGGTGTGACAGGCCATGTCGGGTGTCCCAGAAGCCTGCCTCAGGTCTGTATTTCCAGCCAGTTCTGTGGGCTCTGTACCCCTTTTCAAACTCCTGTTGGCTTGAGTTAGCCAAAGTGAAGTGGATTCTGCTGTCAGCAACTAGGAACCCCTGGCTAAAATAAAGCAAAGGCAACAGAAAACAGGAAGAGACATCAGAAACCGGCAGATAAGTCCAGAAAGAGCCGAAGGCAGTCAGCAGATATTTCTGAGTACATGTCACCTCTCTCACAACTCTGAGGCTTCATTACATATTCCCATTTTACAGACGAGGAAATCAGCCCCGAATCATTAAGGGGGCTGCAGAGAGCCTAAGACTGCATTCCCCACTACCCTTCCTCCTGATCCTTCCCACTGTGAGAGCCCAGGCATTAAAGTGGGCTGAGTAATGC